GTGGGGAGCATCACGTGCTGGGAACCGGGCCCAGCGTCCGCACAGTCTGAGCAGGCTATTTTTGTGTCATGCCAAACATTTTTTCTTTTTCTTTTTCTAACTTGCCAGACTTGGCCTTATATAGGCCCTTTTTTTTCTCTTTCTTTTTTCTCTTTTGAAGGCCCTAATGGTCTCTAAAGCGCTTACTAACCGACTGTTACCATATATGAACCACCTAATATATCAGGACCAGACCGGCTTCATGCCAAATACAAATAATATTATCCATGCCAAATACAAATATATATTATCCAAGATAATGGCCTGCTGGTGACGAGACCATAAAATATGCAAGACAAAATCAGAAAGAAGTGGTCGTCATATTCATAGACTTCGAGACTGCTGCCTTGAAAAGACCAATTTTGGGGAAGTATTCAGGGAATGGGTCTCAATCATGCACAGATCGGCGGCTACAAACATAATAGTAAATGCCAAATGGGCATTTGTATCCCCCCTTACCTCGCAGCGTTCAGTTAGACAAGGGGATCCGGTGAGCCCCTTCCTGTTTGTGTTAGTAATGGAAGCCCTAGCAGCAATGATAAGAGCCAACCCAGATATAGAGCGCATTGATATTCCGGAACTTCGACCTCACCTGGTGCCGGTCACATCGCTCTTTGCAGACGATCTCACGGTGTTGATCAAAGTAACAAGGGCATCCATGAGAGCACTAACGGAGACGATTCAAACATTTGCAGTGGCCGCAGACATGAAGGTCAATTGGGGAACAAAGACCAAGGGGTGGTGGCTGACCTCTTCCAACACAGATCTCCCACCGGACCTGCCTGTTAACTGGCGTCCAAGGGAAGAAGCTATTAGAATCCTGGGGATCAGACTAACAGCGCCGGGTCCCCCAGCAGACCAAGGGCAGGCCCTCGTGCAAACCGCCCTACAGCAATTGGCTAAGTGGGACGGACTACACACCTCTCTGGTATGAAGAGCCCTCGCTATTACTAACGCAGTCTTCGCCACCATACGGTACAAAACAGCCTTTTGAGACATTCCTCAGAAGGCACTGGCAGATTTAAGAACGGCTCTAGTCGCTTATCTATGGAAGAACGACCACGAGTGAGCCCGATGTACTGAAAGGGTAGCCTGAAAATATATCACACAACCAAAGAGGATAGGAGGTCTGGGCATTTTAGACCCAGGAGACGAGATCAAAGCTTACTCTTTAAAGTCATAATAATGTGATTCATCCTAGCAACGGATGTTTCATGGCTACCTTTGGCTTAAATCCAGCTGGTCTACTTGGCCCCACCAACTCACTCACGTAACCTGGTCCACCCCGTCACCTGGTTGACCAATAAATCCTGGTCTATACCAGGCCCGCCAAGACAGCATCGGAACGAGTCACCGCAAAACCGCACGTGTTGGGATGTTAAACACGACCCCCTCTGGGCTTCAATGATCCGCCTGTGGAGGGAAATCGGACCATCCAAAAAGGCCCCTCCCAGAAGATGGGAAGAATTCTGAAGGCAACCATTGTTTGGGGACCCCCGTATCCTGGATGAAGATGGCCAGCCATTGACCTTCTCTACAAACTCTCATTGGTTGACCTGAGTGAGAAACAGTATGTTCACAGTGGGGGACTATGGGATTACCACAGCGGGACTTGGAAATAATCACAACAATTGAGAACGAGCCTAAAACACATAAGCAACAGTGACGAGAAGCTGCTTGATTGCGAATTACCGGCAGCCAACTTTAAAAGGGTGTGGGTGGTGGGGACAAAGGACATAGGATACTTTGCACTCAAAATGACAGTTTCTATCGCGGCTTTACCCTTTGACCCGGAGGAGTGGGAGTGGAATGGTCGAGGACCCACCCCCATTTGGCAATACACAGTGCGCCAAGGATATAAGTTTGCCCACAAACCTTACTCTTCTACAACAGTGGTGCAACGTAGATGGCAGAGGAACTCCCGACTTTCGGACTCGGCCTTGACAAAGTTTCCCTAAAGCACCCCTGCGCATATAATGCCTACCTTTCATTGGGCGCTGCAGTGGCAAATAACCCATTGCTGCCTCCCAACTTCGGACTGGATGGTTAAGTGTACTCGCCTGGCCATCCTCATGTGCACCAGGAAGATAAGATGTTTTGTGGAACATAAGGAACTTCTTTTTCTCATTTTTTTTTCCCAGAGTAGACTCCATATATTGGTGGGGAGCGTCACCAGCTGGAAAACGGGTCCAGCGTCCTTTACAAGGTACAAAAGCATACTAAGGTTTTACAATCAGTTCAAGGGAAACAGAAACCACCTCTTCAGCCCCATGTGGGCTGCCAGATCCAACTTTCATTTTCTAGCGATTATAACCCCTATGGATATCATTGAGAATCAATACTACTACAACCACATTTTCCCCCCTATCTGAAGGGGGAAAGAGTTCTGGAAATTCCTCAACATTCCTAAGAGAGTCCTCTGGTTTTGAAGTCAACCAGGAATCGGACATCAACTTATAATCCCTTTTGAGAGGGATCCATTTTCGTCTGCCCATTCCACTTTCCCAACCTTTCTCTCTTCCAAATCCCCAAGCCAGTCCAATTCAAATTTCAAGATGCATTTTTTAATATCAGGTTTTTGTTAAAAGAAATTGAGTTTGATTTTGGTATTAAACCATTGAGCCCGAATCTATGTTTCTACAAACTGAATGATGATATCTGAGAGTTATTTTCCTTTGATCCTCACTTCTTCCATAACCCTCACATATCGTTTATGCCACAACGCCCAAAGTATAACCTTTCTTCTCAAACGATAAAGGTTTTGTTGAAAATTTGTCAATTATACCAATATAGGATTTCAAATACCCTATCAAGATTGCTCTTCATTCCCATGGTCAGTCTAACCCAGCGAGCGCCCTCCATATATATTGTCTCATCTTCTCCACATGAGAATTGAGTCTGGACACTGGTTGAAATAGTTTCTCTGTATTTGCAGAAAAGATATGTCTTAATACAAAATTGGCATCAAGGTGTTGCTAGACCTTTCTGTTCTAGAGCTGTATGATTTATCAACCAATCATTTGTTGGTAAGCATCTATGCATTATTTTCTCTTGCAAAAAGACAAACTTCACAGGTCTCTCTTTAATTAGCTTAAATCAACGTATGGGTCTAAGTATGGCATTATCAGCATTAAGATGGTATTGAATCATACCAGGTCAATTGATTGATTGAAAAATCAAGGCAAGGTGTTGCGCTAACACTAGTGCCCTGACGCCGGCGGACCGGCGAGGCCTGGTCTCCCCGGCTAGACTAGCGCCAGGGGAGGGAAGCTCCTCGGCTGCTAGGCCTGGGCGCGCGCCCGATAGTCGTGCATGGCTTCCTTTTGCCACGTGGCGTTTGTTGATTGGTGACGTGGCCGTCCCGCGACGCGCGCGCAGGGGTAGCGCCAGCAGTGAGGTTGACGCGGAAACACAAGTGGAGCGCAACTATAAGGGTGAGAGATGGAGGCGGGGAGGGAGCTACAACAAGAAGCAGATGATTGGCTGGTGACATTGGAGCAGGGATGCAGGCGGTTACAGGTGATGGTGGGAGAGTTGTCTTTGCGGTCAATTGAGGAGCCAGAAGACGAAGGGGGAGCGATCTCTATGGCTGTTTGGTTGAAGAATATGGCCGACGACATGCCGGATATCATCTGGTGGCTGGAGGAGGGGCCGGATCCTCAGCTGGAAGCCTGCATCGACTCGAAGACGACAAAGGCCATGATGTCTACCTGCTATAACCTCTTCGCTGAGGGTCGCAACCTGCGCTATAAGCTTGAAGACCGGTTGAAGGGCAAAGACGACCTGGAGGGTGAGGACTGGCAGGAGGACGGAGTGGAGGGAGACGAGGTTAACTCCCGCATCAGCATCAACAACAACAACAACAACAACAACAACGACAACAACAACATCAACGATAACAACAACATCAACAACAACAACAACTACAACAACAACAACAACGACAACAGCAACGGTTACAGCGACAACAATAATAATGACAACATCAACATCAACAACCAAAACGTCAACAACAACACCTACAATGGGAGCGTTGAACATGGCAGCAGCAGGGTGGAGAACGGTGCCCGCGCATATCTGATCGTCGTCAGCGACATGGGAGAGATGCCGCATGTGGATGCGGTGGAATTCGGGGCTGACAACAACGACGGCGTGGGCGGCAACAACGATGATACCGGCAGGGATTACCATGACAACAGTCACAACAACAACAACAATAATAACGTCGACAACAACAACAGCGGTGATGGTGGCAGCGACGACGATGGCGGCAACGACGACCTCGACAGCAGCAGAGCTGAGAGCATCAGCATGACTGGAGAGATCCTGCATGCTGACATGGAGGGGAGTGGGCTTGACACGGATAAGAGGTTTACCAGCTCCCTCCCCCCCTCCCCCTCCCCCTCCCCCTCCCCCCTCTCAACCTCGTTGGTTGGCTGAAGTTAGGAGTGGGATAGTCGCTGTTGGGATTGGGATAGTAGTTGTTCATTGTTGTTATCCGGCCCACAATATCAATCAACATCGGACTGCTGATTGCCCCACACACATACATTATATTTAGGTTAGGGTTTTGTGGGTTGTTGTACATTTACAGAGATACAGTGGATTAGATGCATAGGGTTATAGGGACGCTGGACCCGATTTCCAGCAGATACACTCACATCTATGTACATAGGATTTTGTGTTTAAATGATTGATTGGTATAGAACACATCCATCATATGCGCCACATCATACATACATCACACTTACATCACACATACATCACATCGGGGATTGTTTTACATACAAAGTGATATTGTGGATCAGATGCATAGGAACAAAGGGTAGCTAGACCTAATTTCCAGCAGACACTTTCACATTTTTGTATAGGGACGTTGAACCCGATTTCCAGCAGATACGCTATCATCATTGTACAGGGGTGTTGAACCCGATTTTCAGCAGTTGTAGCTCCCCACCAATAGATGGAGCCTTCGACGTCGGGATCCACTTATAGGGGATGCTCTTATCACCTCGATAAGTATATTTCTCATATACGATGTTAAAAAAAAAAAAAAAAAAAAAAAAAAAAGGACATCAACCCTCGGTTTCAATAGCTGATAAGTGGTTCTGACTGTAAGAGAGTGCAACATTTTGGACCTTCCTCTTTTATTACTTTTTCATCTCCACTCTTCTGGGTCTATGGGAAGTTCTAGGATCGACATTTGAAGGAAGTATGCACGCCATTTGTTGGATGGGGGTCGACATAACTCTAATCATATACAAAGTGGATTTAGGAAAAAAATCCACCTTATCAAGAGTATATCTAGTTAACGTGAAATCCCGTTGTAGTCTGAAAGTATTGACCATAACCCCATTTTGTTGCATGCAGAGTACCTCACCTATAATCTTTTTAATTATTGAGGTCAAAATCATCTACCCAATCCGATTCTTGCAAAATTGTCATTTTTTAAGTAACAACGACCAAGCCAAGGGAATAGACAAAGTGATTTATTCCATAGATTCGGTGAGATGGTATGCATAACGTAGATCAAATCTCGATTCATTTGTTTATTTCCATCATTTTGATATTGAATCTGATGGATCTTTAATGCTTACTATGTTCCTCTTCATCCGAATGGTCCAAAGTGAGGAAGATATATTAAAGATACACCCATATCGATCTGTTATCCACCTATTACCAAAACGGGGTTGGAGTAAAACCTCTTTATATCTTGATTGGAAAGGTTTATCAGATAGTGGAAATTTTTTCAATGATTTTAATAAGTATGTTAAAAAATTGTCCAAAATATTTTTTTTTTTGCATTCACCTCTTATTTCTTCTTCTTGCGATGAGGAATTGGGGTGTCGGATACTCCGATACCTATCTTTTAAATTTCAACCGTGAAGGGGGATGTATCTTTTCCGTAGAGGAGGAGACAAGTTTTTTTATTTGTTATATGGCCAAGGAGAATCATCCTATCTCTATTTCAAAAGTTAACTTTCTAACTCACTAAAGCAACAAGGCTAGACTCCGAAGCTCTGGGCCTAACAGACCTAGTCCCCCTCTTGAGGTTGGCTATATAAGGGTTAGGCAAGCTACCCTTGGAATTACTGTAGGTGCCTCGTTGTCTCCTCTCTAAAGAAAATATGTTATTAGTTTCTTTAAGGCTTTGGTTGTAGTTTTTCCAAGTCACTAGATTGTTGACTTATTCTAAATGGATGCTTGCACAACATTGTTAATAACTAATGATCTCCCAAAAATTAAAATGTGTTTATTTTTCCATTGGTTCATTTTATCCAATGTTGGACGAGAGATTAATTCATCATTGATGAATGATTTACCATGTGCAGTGAGAGAGACCCCTAACACTCTTATGAGAGCTTCAAGTGGTAACCATTTAATCCTAGGTATTTCTCGAGGTATAATCCCATTTGAGTGAATCTACCAACCTTGTGTTCTGCTACCCCAGTTAACTACCTTGTCTGACACTATAGCAAACTTATCCATGCGTGCTTTAATTTCTTTCATATTTCCATGTGAAGCTTCAAGTATTACAATGTCGTTATTTGCGAACATAAGACTAATGTGAATCTTTTTTTGGATATCCCTGCAATATGTAAACACTGAAGGTTCTGGTTAGATCTTAGATTAGTTGTTATTGCTTTCATTATTATGAGAAAAAGAAATAGTGTTCGAGGCTCCCCTTGACGTACTGATCTTTGCGGTTTGATTTCAGGAGAGAGAAAATCATTCACTTGTATCCCAGTTGTTGCATTTGAATGTACAATGTTGACCCATTGGCGCAATGATGGCCCAAAATTTATTTTTACCAAGGACGCATATAAAAAACGTCAGTCCACATTATTATAAGTTTTCTCAAAATGTATAAAAAAAAAGGCAGTTTTCAAATGAGACTGCATGAAAGTTTCACCATTTCACTGATTAGAAAAATATTGTCTTGCATATGCCGCCCTTCTATGAATCAGGTTTGTGAGAGATGAATGGGATCAAACATTACTGAGATTATCATATTCACTATAGCTTTAGCCAACATTTTGTACACTACTGTTAATAAAAAGATAGGACGATAATTCCTAATATGAGCTTTATCTCCTTTTTTGTAAGTAGAGTTAGAATCCTCAGCCCCACCAACTCACCTGTCTGACATAATTCATGTGCTTGTGTGTAAACTTTCATTAGATCATCTGATAGTGTTAATCCCATGGTCATCCCATGGTTTCTCAAAATTTCTTAGAAAAGTCGTTTATACCCGGTGTTTTGTCTTCCCAGATTTGTAGTATTGTTGTCCAAATTTTATTTTTTGTGATCAATTTTTCTAAATATGCTCTTTGTTCAGGTGATCGAAATTAAGTGAAAGAATTGAGGAAGTTTTTCATCATGTTATCATCCTCTTCTATATTTTTATTATTTTCATTTTGAGGTGAAATTTTTCTTGAAGAAGTCATATGTTGTCCTAAGATTCCCTGCCAACGAGGTGGGAGAGTCAAAATCAGATAAGGATTGTTTATTTGAATCTATAACTAGGCTACCAAAGTAGCCCGAGGTCACTTGCCGGCCAGACCAAAAAAAAAAAAATTAAAAAAATATACTTTTATTTTTATTTTCTATTTTAGTAAAGAATTTCAATGTGACCCCGAGGCAAAAGTTGTTTCGCTTATTTTTCTTCACACCATGGTTGTTTTTCGGATTTTTTTTTTATTTTTATTTTTTTTTGGGACCTTCCCTAGTACTTGCATAAGCTGCCCACCCAGGACCCGAGCGGTCAGGCTGGTAGCCTAGATTTATAAGTATTTCAATCGTGTTTTTTTTCGCTCTATATATAGTTAATGCAAAGAAGATGGAATCCATTTGTCCTTCGGTTTGATATCTTGTGAGTTTCCCCCTGATAAAATACCCCTGCCAACAATGAGCAAAGGCTAGTAGTTGCTCTCTGAAGTTGTGGATTATGCATACTTGTTGACTTTCGATCAAAGAATTTTATTATTCGTAGTATATTAATTGTTTTTGTCTTTGCATATCCTGATTATAACGTTTTTTAGCTAGCACTGTTGAGTATTCTTGACATTTCTTGGATAAAAAGGTTAGACCATAATTAAACCAAGATATGTATTATTCATGTTGGGGTTTAGTCGCTTGCCAAAAGTTTATTCGTCTTGAATGTATTGTTTGAATTATGGAAGGGAAAGGAGAGAGGTGTTGAGCTTGTAGAAAAAAATTCCTTAATCGGATTTCTTCCTAAAAGAGAGAAGTACTGTACTCATCTTATGATCAACCTGGACAGGAACTCTATGGAAAAATGATTGCCCCTTGTATTCCTCTATCCAAATCAGTCAAAAGTATAATTAAATCAATCCTAGAATTTGAAGGGTGCGAAGTGTCACTATTACGGATGCAAGAAAATAAGCGCTCTTAATGACTAATACGTCGAAACAAGTAAAAAGACTCTAGTGATTCACATCATTTATAAATATTTTTTTATCTTCTTCTTGTGTTACCATGCGCTGATTGAGCACGAGGTTGGAGCTCAAATTTTTTCCGCTCAATCCCGCGCTCAAAAGTGCTTGAGCGAGGTTTGAGCGGGCGGGGTAATATTTTTTCCCCTGGGAAAAAGTAAGCCAAAAAAAAATATATATATATATATATATATATAGGGTTGTAGATATTTTTGAGATCTACAACCCCATGTTTTTTATTGTAGTTTTTGAAGTTTTTCTATATTTAAAAAAAATCAAAAACATAAAAGAAAGAAAAAAACAAAGTAACAATATGAAATGAGTGGGTTTTTTTTTTTCACAGGGATTTTTGTTTTTGGCAAAAAATAAACAAAAAAATAAAATAAAAAATAGAGCCTTGTAGATCTTTTGGAGATCTACGACCCTATGATTTTTATTGTGTTTTTTTAATTTCATTTGTATTT